AACCTAAATGTCCATCAACAGATGGATGGATAAAGAAAATGTGCTAGATATATACAATGGAATATTACTTAGCCACAAAAAGAATAAAATGCCATTTGAAGCAACATGGATGGACTTAGAAATTATCATATTAAATGAAGTAAATTAGACAAAAACAAATATCATTTGATGTATTATATATCATTATATGTAAAATCTTAAAAAATGATATAAATGAACTTATTTACAAAACAGAAATAGCCTTATAGACAGAGAAAACAAACTTATGATTACCAAAGGGCAAAGGTGGGGAGGAATAAATTAGGAGTTTGGGATTAACTTATACACACTACTATATACAAAATAGATGAACAACAAGGACCTACTGTATAGCCCAGGGAGCTATATTCAATATTCTGCAATAACCTATAATGGAAAAGAATCTGAAAAAGATATATATGTATAACTGAATCATTCTGCTGTACACCTAAAACTAACAAAACATTCTAAATCAAGTATACTTTGATAAACATTTTTAAAAATCATTATCTTTCAGAGACAAAAACTGAATTGTTTAGGGATAAAAATTTATGATATCTTGGATTTGATTTAAAATATGCCAGTAGAGTAGAAGAATAATGGGTGGTGTTATAGATGAGTCAACTTTGGGCATATGCTGACAACTGTCTAAGCTGGATGAAGTATAGTATAAGGTGTTTTAATAAAATATTCTAAATTTATGTTTGAAATTTTCCATAATAATAATTCTTTAATTAAAAAATGTGCCTATAAGTTGGAGAGGCATCCTTCAGCTTTCTGGGAACTGCCCTCTTTCTCCATATTCTGGAAATTTGGAGCTCACCTTCCCAATCCGTATAAAGATATATTCTTCCCAAACTTGGACATTTTTCCCTCATCTCAGAGATAGATGCTCATCCTGGGGACAGAGGTTAGCCAATGAGACTCTTCTCCTAGAGGTTTGGAACTGGGACCAAATACTTCTTGAACTCTAGGGAAGGAGTCGTTGATGGTGGATATTTTCTGCCTGATGGTCTAGAGAACAGAGATAGGCAGTGTGCAGGAACAGAGCAGAATGAAGGCTGAGGGGAAGCAGACCCCCAGGAGAGAGGCTCTCCTGATTTCCCAGTGTTGCTTGGGCCCTGGTCCCAGGTGACTACCGAGGATCCGCTGTATCTCAGTCTTTGAGTTCAGAGAAACAATCTCATTTGTCATAATAAATAATTCATCCCCTCGCCCCGACTTTGTGTAGCTCAGTTGGGTCTCTATCAATTACTACCACAGACTCTAACAAACATGCTTTTTTAAAGTAAGGTTTTAGGACTTGCCTTTTTCTCTCAAACAGCCCCTGAAATTTTTCAGAAAAAAACAAAGAGGAAGAGGTGCTCTTTCTCCCTTACAGAGAAGCAGACACTGTTCAATAACATAGAGGTACTTCTGATATAGGGTTCAAACTAGGATTTTCACAAAAGTACCACTCTTACTTTTCTGTTCAGTTTGGAGACACCTGAAATAATGTATAATCCTGTACTGTTTTCTGTTATCATAAAACTCTCTTTGAGAGATATTTATACAAAGGAGACTTTTAAAGACAGCTAGACTTGAGCAGAGATTGCCACTGTGTCCTCTGAAAAGTTCCCTGTGACTTCCAGTGGTCTAACTGGTTATCTTAATAATTTGCTTCCTTAGTAATTGTTTTAAAACTGACATCTCTACTTTTTAAAAATGTAATTAAATATTTATGAGATTTCTTTGTTAAGCAAAGAGAAGAGTTTTAGAATGTCTTTTTTTCTCCCTTTCTATGGAAATGAATAGCACATCCATGACCCTTGGTATCTCAATCAAACAAACATATGAGCGCTTTTGTCTCATTACCTGAAACTAGTCAGGGTAGCAACTGCTTCCTATTTCAAACCCATTCTTAATGCTAACACCAAATTTATTTTCCTTAACTGATCCACTAATACTGGGGAAAAGTATTTGAGTTCCATGGGTCTTTATTTCCTATTATTTCTCAAACAGTATTAAAAAAATGAGGGTTTTCATTTCCGCAGTGTAAACTTACTGCTTATCAGGATCCTAGGGTCTATACATGAGTGCTACTTGCCGAAAAAAACATTTGATTTTTGAGGTCTCTTAGGGAAGCAGAAAACTCTCTGTAGAATCATTTTGTGAAGAAAGCAGACTCACTTTTGGGTGCATGTCCAAATAATATTTATCTGATCTGGTGTGCTTGAATGGTGTCTCCTGGATTTTAGAGATCTGCTTGGTTCTAAGGTTGTTGGAAAATAGTCCAGGCCAGGACAACACAAAGCGAGGAAGGGAGTTAATAAATTACCAGTGAATTGGAACCTTCTATCTTTGAATTTGGGCCAGGGTATCCCTTAAACCAAAGATCTAAAGATGCCTACGGTTCCTCAAATGCTTTTTTTTTTTTTTTGCCATAATAGTGCAAAGAATAGGCTTTGCCTTCTCTCTCCTCCATTACTCTTGGTTCACACTGGGTCACCTGCCTATCACATTTCAGCCAGGCAATTAAGGCACAAAACATCGTAATTTATGTGGGGAAATCGTGGTACATGCAATATATACATAAAAGTAATCTGATTCACAGGCTTCTTCATTTTCTTCCAATCCATATAGAGAGCTCTCTTACTTTTCCTGATTTCTTAAGAAGTGAGATTTCTTTTATCATTGCTTTTCTAGGTTAAATTTTGGGTTCAAAATTAAGTTTATTTTATGGCAGCTTGTAACCTCCTGTATATTTAAATCCTTTTAGTCTCTTGCTCATTGAAGTTTCTCTTAACCAGTCCCCTATTTGTACCTGGGCATGTCAGCTCTGGATAACTCCCTTGATTTTTCCCTTTTTAAAAAGAACTTTTCAGTTGTTGGATTCTCAAGGCCACATTGCTAGTAGATGAGAAAGGAAGAATTCAAAACCAGCAGTCTCTTTCTCGAATCTGGAATCTTAGTCACTGTAGTGTGTTTACTGAAGAACGGACATGGAATGAGAGTGAAGTATAGGACTGAGGATAGAAGAGAGGTTCCAGTGAGTTGTTCTGAACACCATTTGAAGGCTCCTCTTGAGAGTGGGTGGGGTACTGTAGTCAGACTGGGTTTAAAAAAGCAAAGCCATGGGCAGAGTGGATGCAGTCTTTGTT